GCAGGTCAGACAGTAGCGGGTCGGAACTGTAGCCGGTCGGACTGTAGCGCGGGTCGGGTTTGAGACATCTTCGGTATTTTGACCTTAACTTTTTCGTACGACCTCCGATTAAGCTGATTCAAGATGCGTTGGAAAGCTAATGAAGAGATCTACAACTTTTATGTTTTAAACTTTTTCAGATTCAAATTGTAGCATGTTCTAAATGCCTCTTCATTTTACGGTCCACTTTGAGGTGTTCGACTCTTTCTGACTTTTCCGAACTTGTATTGTGTATTTCGTCATTCCGATGACTTGTACACTCCAATGACTCACTTTGTATATTTGCTAGCTTTCACGGGGCCAGATAATCCTTTCCTGACTTGGATGATGACGCTGCATTTCGTCCCGAGCTGTGTGTAGGAACCTATATGCATTTTTTTACGCCTACACCTTAACCCGTTCTTTCTCATTTTATCCTCAATTGGAGCAGTATCTAATTTCCATTAATTTCTTATATTATCTCCTAGTGTATTTCCACACATCCATCAAACATGCTCATTTTTGCCAATTATTTTTTGCACATGTTTCTTAATTTCCTAATATTTTAGACTATAAAGCATTATTTGTATTATAATTATCCTGTAGAATTTTCCATCAAATTTCATATATTATATCTCAATCACATAAGACTCCTGAAGCATTCCTTCACTTTAACCACCCTGATTTGATTCTATGAGCTATGTCATTCCGCGATTTGCTGATCTTAGACACTGTGATAACTAATGCCAGGTATTTCTTTACTACTAACACATAATATACCCTCATTCCTTTTCACAGTTTGCAAAAATTAAATTTCTTTTATTATGCTTTTTTTCTACTAATTCTAAACATTTTGTTCTATCACTTATCTGGTCTCATCAACTAATATTATGTTATCAGCAGCTAAAGACATTTATGAGTCTTTTTCTTGAATTTTTAATTAACTCGTCCATAAGCAATGCCAAAAGATAAAGAGTTTTAAACCGCTCTGGGATGCAACCTATTGTAATAGGACATTGTTTTCTCTAATTTGGTTGCTTTCACCCTAGTTGTTGACCCGTCATTCTCTTATTAATTGATACACCTGCTATTTCTTTTTGAAGACCCCCACCACATTATCACTCTTGGCACTTTTCAAAGCTTTCTGTTGATCATCAGTAACCATATGTAGATCCTTTCTTTTCTTTTTGTAACACTCCATTAATTGTCTTAATACATAAATAGTTTCAATAGTTGACCTAGCTAGCGTCAAGCTATGTTGATTCTGAGATACACTTGTTTCATTCCTTAATCTTTCAATTATTCTTTCCTGAAGTTTCCTATTGTGGCTCATGAGTTTAATACATGATGGTTTAACAAATTCTATACTCCTTTATTCTTGTATATAGCTGCATAATTCCATAATATAATTGTAGTGCCAGGGGGCAGAGGGGTGGAGCTACCCTATGGAAGTGGTGTCTTGTGACGCAACTTCCCTAAGGGGTGTCTTGTGAATTGTGATGCAACTTCCCCAAGGGTTCCTTATACGTTTTACAGCTTTCAATATGCCTCAATCCCCATTTGAGGAAACCATGTCCGTTCACCTGGCTTAAGCCCAGAGACGTGACATTCAACAAAAACCACAATAACACATGTTCAGCGGGCCCATATCCTGAACTAACTGACAAGGTTGTTAGCTCATGCTGGTGACGTTTTTTGGAATAACTTAAATCTTCTCATCATAGGTAAGGTATATTGTCAATATTTTCTTCCCCTAGTATGCATAAGAAGTTGAGCTCCCTTGGCATATATATATTATCAATGGGCTGAAGTTACTACATGCTTCTCTATTTGATAATGTTGCTAAGGATGTATCTGCTAGTGTTATCAATGACGTGATTTTGTATTCTTTTTTTCAAAATATGTAAACCCCTCAGGTACAATTGTACAGTTTTTTAATTATTTATTATGTGGTGACACCACCTCCATAAAACCTGGATCTGCCATTGGTAGTGCCATTCCCCCAAGCTAACTCTCAGACCATTATGATTGAGTATATCCACCCTTAACTCTTTTGCAGATCGAAGGATAGCTAATATATTTATGGTGTTAAGTACCCAGGTTTAGCTGATAATATGAGCTTATAAAATATCTTGGAGCCGAGAGTGAACCTTCAATATGGTTACCGGATGAAATGACTAATGCATTGACAAAAGTTCACAGTAAATCAGTGCCATACTTTAATTGGAACCTGAGATATTCCATCTTGTAAGTGTTGTGGTGTACTTGTGGTTCCCAACATCTATATCATTGAGACCCTTCAGGGGCTAACATAATTTCAGCAAATTGTTGATTGCAGTTTATTTCTAAAGCCACAGGTTGGGTAGTTTTCTGGAATATATTGCGTAATCTTTAACTTGAAATATGCCTTTGCTTAGGACTTAGGAGTCCGGATACTCACATGAACGAAGTATGTTAATCATAAATGTAAATTTTCATTTGGTTTCTTTTAACATACATTTCAGTGTGGTAACTAGAGCGCAGGAACACAAATTTGCTGTGCTTTTCGAGCATACACATCATTTTCAGAAAGAATTATTATGGAGGGAATTTGAAGGGGTGGATTTTATTGGAAGGAAGAAAAAAGGGAGATATTCATTTGAATGAGTTAAATCCTCAGGGGAGAATCTCCAGATTATCTTGGAAAACAAGATTCTTGATTCAAGCCTTACTAGTGTGCACCCCGTGCAAAGCATGACCCTCTATTTTTTTAAGTATTGCATTTTGAACTTACCTCCCTCTAAGTTTTAATTCATTTAATTTAGTTATTGTATACTTAAAATTAGAAATCATATCTACTCATCTATACCTAAAAGGAGGATCCAAGTTTTAATACATTTGATTTAGAAACCATATCTATTCTTTTATACTTAAGAGGCTGATCTAAGTTTTAATACATTTGATTTAATTTACTGTTTATGATACAGGAAAATACTATAGTATAAACAGTAACTTCAAAAGCTGTGTCAGATTTGAGTTACTGTTCACAGTACAGTAAGCACTGCTTTACATTACAGTAAGCACTAGTAAGCACTGCTTTACAGTACAGTAAGCACTGCTTTACAGTACAGTAAGAACTGCGGCTGGGTCGATTACAGTTCACGCTACAGTGTTTAATGTAGCTAGCAGGCTGATTAGTCGATTTACTTTACTGTTCACTGTATAGTATTTTACTGCTGCGGTTGATTTATTGGTCATACTACAGTAATTACTGTAATATTTACTATGAATAAATAGTAATTCTTTAGACCCTCCTATAAGTATAGAAGAGTAGATGGCTTGCAGCACAGAGATTTCATATTCAATGATTTGTCTTCATTATTCCTGACATCATTACAGAAAATCATTATCTAGAGCTTATCATCTGAATTAAGATAAGAGGTGACCCCTAGTAAGATGGAATGGTGAGAAAGGATCCATGTATTCAACTCTGAATAAATCCTAGGCATTATTACTGCTGTTATTATCTAGGTTTTGATGATTATGATGAAGATGATGATCAAGTGTTGTAAGAATAGTCTAAATGACGAATTTAAGATTGATGAGTAGAATTGTGAAAAGAAATGAGTTTATCCTTTAAGAAATGTGAAAGCGACAATATTATATATCAGTGGTGTCATTCTAGCTTAAGCAATTAGTTGTAAGTGGGAATACTACAAATAGTGACACGTAGCTGCATAAGACGAGTGTGAATGTCTTCGGATAGTTTGTGCATATGTAGTTGAGTTAATAAATTCCAAATTGAAAGAGGGGTAGGATTCTATCAAAGGAGCTTTAAGACTAATACCAAAATGAATCCACTTGGACAAAATTAACTCAGCTGATGTGGTAAGATCCTTGTCGGAGGTTGTAAAGCTAATGGGGGAATTAAAATATACAGACAAACCTAGAAGGCATGGACCTCGTGACTGAAACACTCCCTCATTATATAATAGCACAAGACTCTCCATGAATAGGAGTAAGTATATTATTTTAGTCACTAATGAATAATGAGATTGACTTACAAGAAGCGGTCCTTCAGCAGATTTGGATAAGAGAACGATATCATGTAGTCAACTTCAAAATTTTGGGATGAAGCATTTGTAGTTTTACTTGTGCAACATTGTAAATCAGAAACACTTTTTTTTTAAATCTCAGACGAATAGTTGTGCAGTGTTCACTAAAAAAAATTCTGTAAGATAAAGGTAAATGCAGGCAGAAAGGCATAAGCAAAGGGTTAAGGGTGTCCTTTGCTCCTTATTTTTCATTTTTCTTTCGTATAAAGAAACTCGGCCCAACATCTAGGAGACGGTTTGATGGGGACATCCGGACTCATACACGAGATTTTCACCGGGTTTATCAGCGCAGGAGGCGCAATATTTCAGCACTATGGTTTTGATTTCAAGTTGTAATAATTAGAATATTTCAGCACTATGGTTTTGATTTCAAGTTGTAATAATTAGTTTGAATTTTGAATTTTGAATTTCGAATTTTGATTTTTATTTGGTAGTTAATCAAAGTTGTAATAATTAGTTTGAATTTTGAATTTTGAATTTCGAATTTTGATTTTTATTTGGTAGTTAATCAACTGATTGATTGGAATTGGTTAAGAGAGTGATTTGAGGGATTTAGGAGATATTCCAAGAACTGTAATTCCTACTTAACAAACTCTTGTAATCAGAGAAAGATAATTGAAGATGAATGAAATTGATTTGCTTAATCTGGGTGTGAAACCTAAGCGTGATTAGTTTCTTGTCATCAGCCGTAACTCCTCTTCCTCACGAAGAAAAAAAAAACAAAAGAAATCTAAGTTTGCACTGTTCATCATCTTCTTCCTCCTCCAGAACAGTCAGAACCCACTCCACCTCCCTCTTCTCAGTTGAAGCCCACCGAAACCGAGCGCCCTCCATCCAGATCCGCCTCGAACGCCGCCCACTCCAACCCGAGCGCCGCCGTCCCGACTCGAACGCCACAGCCCCGACCCGAGTGCCGCCTAGGTCGACACCGCCACCTCCCTCTCTGGTCCGTGTCGTTCCTTCAGATTGAGACCCTGTTGAAGAAAGTGTGGATCTGTGCTCCCTACTTATTTAACCGATCCAGTCAAGTGTGGACCAGACCCACTTGACCCAATCCGGAGTTGTTGAAGCTAGTTGAGTCAGATTCAACCATTTGATCCCTGATTTTACAATTGATGGTGTATGGCAGATCCTGATGCTGATGACGGAATCGTGCTAGATCCAGAGACCGGCATCGCAGATTTACAGCTTTCCCCGTGGTTTGATTATCAGTCATTCGAGAGCGTGCCCGAGTACGTTGAGCGTGTGACTCATCAGATCGTTGACAGCGTAGAGAGTAGCTTGGGAATCAGTTCGTGGCATCGGCGTTTTCATCCAGATACACCGCTCCATCCGAATTACGCCGCCCTTGGTAGAGAACTTCCTCCCCTCATTTTTGGCGTGTACGAACCACCACCAGAGGAGCCTCTCGTCGAGCCAGTTCAACCCGACGAAGGTTTAACTTTCTTTCGCCCAATTATTTACGGAACTGCTTTTGCTTGCATGTTGCTATCAATATTATTATCAATCGTATTTGTGCTGTATTCAGTTTGATTAAGTGAGCGAGCGAATCTGTTGCTAAGTACTTTTACTTATCTAAATATTACAATTTGAACTATATTGAAAGAACGAATCATTACATTTATTTTCTGGATCATTTACAAAAGATTTGAACTTAGTACATTGCAACTTTTGCTTAAAATCCATCGAAAGCTACACTTTATTCTTGAACTTCCTGCCTAGATCGATCGCTGATTTGGCGAAGCATTGTTGTCATTAACCTTCATACCTGCATCACACTGTTTCGCATCATTTTTGGTATCAGAGCACCTGGTTCTAGGTTAGGGAATTTGTGAGTCTTTATTATTTAAAAAAAAATAGTCATTTCATTTAATTTTTGTGCACCCACCCATTTCATCGCATTTATTTGTTAGTGCATGCCCACTCGTACCGGTCTACCCTATCGCTTAGGAGAGTCAAGTGAGTCGACTAGTGAGTCCAGTATGTCAGGTAGTAATGATCCCGAACTCTATAAGAAACTCGATGAACTAGCAGGACAATTAGGTGCCGTAGTCCAGGGTTTAACGAATCTCCGAAATGAAACCAACGAAAAGTTTGCTAGGCTCGAAGAAGCTCGTGTTGCAACTCCACCGCCGCCAGATCTAGGTTATCAGCATATCGCCCCACCGCTGCAAGGTCAAGGCTATGGAAACTTCGTTCAGCGGCCCCCACATCAACCGGTACCTGATCCGGATGCGCAATACCTGAGGAGTATTAAGATCAACGCCCCAACCTTTGACGGCAAGCTCGACCCACAAGCTTTCTTGGACTGGCTGAAGAGCATGGATCGTTATTTTGATTGGTACGTCCTGACGGAACCCCGAAAGGTTAAGTTCGCCGCTATGAAACTAGAGGCGAGTTACCAATTACTACTTGGCGAGAAATGACCAACGAACTTAAACAGAAATACCTTCCGCCATCATTTTATCATCGATTGCTAGATAAGTGGCATCGTCTCACTCAAGGCACCAAATCCGCAAAAGATTACGTTGCACAATTTGACGAACTGTTCACTCGATGCAACACTATTGGAACAAGAGGCGCTAATGAAAGTCTTGTCGAAGTTTAGAGCTGGATTGAGAAATGATCTGCAAACCGAACTCTTTGCTCAAGGAGTAGATACCCTTGAAAAGGCTTATGCGTTAGTTCAGGATCTAGACGAATCAAAATCCCATCAATCTTATAGGAGTCAGGATTTTAGAAATCATTCTTCCCAACCTTCTCGTGCCACTACTTCTAGTCATCCTCCGAGTCGATCTAACCCTAGTTCTTCCCAGTCTAAAGTCGATTCCAAAGGCAAGGAACCGGAGAGAGATTTCTCTAAGATTGGCGCCCATGTCAAGTGCTACAAATGCCAAGGGTATGGACATGTTTCTGCGAACTGTCCGACCCGTCACAAGGTGGCTATCATCGATGGACAATACGAATATGAACCTGAACCTGATAGTGATGAGTTTGTCCATCAAGTTGACGATGATACCGATGATTTCGAGGATGACGCAGATGATACTATCTTGAGTTGTCTTAGACAAATTGAAACTCCTACCGTATCAGTTGTCAGATGCGCCATCTCTCAACCCAAGGCTGTTGATGATTGGAGACGTACTTCCATTTTTTATACGTTCACAAAGATTGGTGATAAAAATTGTAAAGTGATCGTGGACAGTGGAAGTTGCATTAACGCGGTCTCCTCAGCTGTGATCGCTAAGCTCGGTCTCAAGGTTGTACCCCATCCTAATCCATACAAGGTATCATGGATTAACGACACCGCCCTCAATGTCCAAGAGAGATGCCTAGTCCCTCTTCAATTTGCCATTTATAAGGACAAAGTTTGGTGCGATGTTCTGAAAATGGATGTGGGTCAGGTTATTCTTGGAAGGCCTTGGTTATTCGATAACGATGTGCATATTTTCGGGCGATCCAACATGCTATTGTTTGAGCATGACGGAAAAAAGGTCAAGATCCTTCCCGTTCAGCCGAAAGGAAGTGACAAGAAGCCCGATCCAAACAAGTCTTCCCAAGGCGTTAACCTGATTGGAGCTAAAGAGATTGATCGCGAGCTAGCCAACGGAGCTCCTATTTTCGCCCTCGTCGCTAGAGAAGCTCCGAAGAATATTTCCAACGTGGTTCCCCCAGAAGTCGCTACTGTGTTGGACGAATTTTCTGACGTCTTCCCTGAAGACATCCCGGACCAATTACCCCCGATGCGTGATATCC